TCCACCCGCCTCGGCCTCCCAAAGTGCTGGGATTACAGGCTTGAGCCACCGCGCCCGGCCCTCTTTAATTTTAATTAACTTAAAATCTAAAGAACCCCATGTGGCTGTGGCTACTATATTCAACAGTGCAGCTGTGGATGAACATAGGGCTGTGTTATCAATTGAAGTATGAGGTTATCTGCCTGTTACTACCTGCCATTTACAATTAATCTACTCCTTATGTTTCTGTTCATGTGGAAGGTACCCTACTGAGGTAACACTGTATCCTCTCTTTCTATTAACTCCGACCCGAGAGAGCTGGAGCGACTTATCCAGTTGGCTGATTTAGCATGAATAATCTGCATACTTAAACTTACCACTGATCTGCTTTCTTCCTCTTGGGAGGGCATGTGGTAACACTTGTTCATTCATGCTGTGACTTTTGTCTGACCACACTTACTGTTGCCTGAGATGGGGTGGGTGTATCCATCTAAATCTGGGGTTAAATCTATTTAGTTACGACATTAAGCTTTTTTTTTTTTTTTTTTTTTGTCACCCAGGCTGGAGTACAGTGGTGTGATCTCAGCTCACTGCAACCTCTGTCTCCTGGGTTTGAGCGATTCTCCTGCCTTAGCCTCTCGAGTAGCTGGGATTACAGGTGCGCGCCCGCCACCACACACAGCTAATTTTTTTGTATTTTTAGTAGAGATGGGGTTTCACCATGTTGGCCATGCTGGTCTTGAACTCCTGACCTTCTGATCCACCCACCTCAGCCTCCCAAAGTGCTGGGATTACAGGCATGAGCCACCACACCCAGCTGACATTAAGTTTTACCTCAGCCTTTGTTAATAATGAAGATGGTATTTTGTCCTGTATATGCCATTTGTTCTTGATTTTGTTTAGATCTTGGTCAGAGAAGATGGGGTAGATGGGGGCCTACTTAGAGACCACAATAGAACTGAGAAATGATTAACCATTTTTATTTACTACATTATATTATATTACCATAATTTAATGTTTTTTTTTATTCAATAGGTATCCACAAATTACCCATTACCAAAAACAAATTGTTCATCAAACGATTTGGAAGTTAAAGATTGTACTTCGTTGGTTTTAAATTCAGACACATGCTTTGAGAATTTAACAGATCTCTCTTCACCTACGATTTCTTCTTATGAGAATCTTCTCAGAACACCTACACCTCCAGAAGTAACTAAAATTCCAGAAGATATTCTCCAGGTTATTTTTCCAGGCTATTTTTTTTTTTCTGATATTCTTTCAAAGTGAAGTACTTAAAGACCTGAAACTGCATATAAACTGTCTTATTTATCATTGGGCTAATGTGCTAATTTTGGTGATGAGAAAATCTAAATTCTAGGCTGTCAGGACCTTATTTTCTAATACTTGTTCAACTGTGGCTTCCTTACTGATCATGGTTCCATTAGAAGTGTTGCTGGCAAAGTCAGTAAAGTCATTTATTTACACTACGATTTCCCAGAGCCAGGGTATCATGAATTTATGATGCTGTATTTTTACTGTACATTTTCTATGCTTAGATATACAAGTACCACTGTGTAGCAAGTGCCTACACTATTGAGGACAGTTACATGCTGTTCAGGTTTGTAGCCTAGGAGCAATAGGCTATACCATATGCCTAGGTGCGTAGTAGGGTATACTGTCTAGGTTTATGTAAGTACTGTGGTGTTCACACACAGTGAAATCGTAATGATGCATTTCTCAAGTTGTATCCCCATTGTTAAGTGATGCATGACTGTGTCTGATTCTTTAGTATTTAACAGCAGTTACCATTAGCCTACTAATGACTTATAACAACTGCCAATTCTAAATAACCAGTCTGATTCTTTGACAGTCCCTTTCCTCTTAACAGAAGTTAGTGTTTGGCAATTATTACTTACACATGTGGAATTCTTAATAACCATTCTAGAAATCTTGATGCCCTATGGAGACCCATGAGAAGGATAAATCACTTAGTGAAGTCCCCAAATGCCACTAGAACTGACTTATGCTGGGATATCAGTGAAGTACTTCTTATCCTCTTTTCTGCTTCTCTGGAAGTTATAATAAATTGTGTGAAGGAGCATCTTCTGTCTTTATGCAAATTACAGTTTCCACTTCCCAATGGGTGCTTCATCTCCTATTTCTATGTAAAAGGAAGGAAACCTTATATTTAATATATCACCTCTTTATACATGAAAAATTATAGCTGATACTTCAGGGTCTCCTTTCATAATCTTTACAATTGATGACCTTTCGTTTGAGCATTTGTTTCACGTCTTTCCTTTGTATAATTTCCCTAACATCTTTGTAAAGGCTTAATTTGCTCTCAGGGATATATTACTACTTGTTTTCACTGACTTCAGTCAGAATACATTTTAGGGTTTAAAAATCAGTCCTTCACATGCAAGTTAAATTTCTAATATCTCCATCTTTTCATTGCTGTTAGCATGTCTTTTTTTTTTTTTTTTTTTT